ATATATATATATACATTTCATTCAACCACAATTAAATTCACAATTTACATGGATAGTGTTTATTTTTACAACAAGCTGGAATGAAAAAAAAATAATCAAAGAAAAGTAACAACTTTCTACTTTGTGCTTTTTTAAATGTAAAGAGTAATACGTACAGATAATTGTGTGAAAATGTAAGGAGTAGAAGTATAAAGTAGGCTGAAAAATAATTACTCAAAGTACAGATACCCAGTACTTAGTTACTTTACAACTCTGAATGTGGGTCTCGTGTTCCATGATGGAGGACCGGGTTCCGTCAATTTCCACTTCCTCCTCACCAGCATCAGCAGACGGACTAAGCAACATCTCGATGTGGGTCTTAGAGGACATCTGTCTCGTTTTTCTCCATTTGTAGGTTTGATTTTCTTTACTCCAACCATTTTGATCAGGTTGTCAGCAGCAAATACTGARGATAAAATAATATGAGGACACTGTAAGTATATATAAATAAATAAAAATCCCATCCATCTTTTCTGTTTGGTTAGTAAGCCCTGTTGGGACTGAATGTTAGGGAGAGCTAATTACTCTGACCTGACTAATGCTTATTGTCTAAATACCACAGGAAGTCTCAGAACAGGTTATTAAAATCTTAATTGGTGTGATTAATAGCTAAATGAGCTTTAAGGGTAGACTGCTGATTCCTTGGGGCATTCTCATGACCTATTTCTCATGACCTTGGGGGGGGGGGGGGTTCTCATGACCCTACAGTTCACACCTGTCAGCTTTGATGATACATAGGGTTTATTTTCTCTACTTTCCGTATAGTGAAGCATGGTGGTGACAGGATCGTGATATGAGGATGTTTTTCATCACCAGGGACTGAGAAACCTGTCAGATTTAAAGAAAAGATGGATGTACCAAAATACAAAAAATTCTTTAGAGGAACTTGTTGGAGTGTTCCAGAGTTATGAGACTGGGYTGAAAATTATTTTCCATTAGTGTGCCCCAGGGCAGCTGTGGCTACAGTGTAGCTTACCATCATCAGTGTGTGAATGTGAGTGTGAATGGGTGAATGTCTGTTAGTGTAAAGCGCTTGGAGTGTCCTGGATGGATAGAAAGGTGCTGTATAAGTACAGTCCAAAAAATTAGGACCACCATCTTAAACACATTGCTAAATTTCACTGTTTTAAGAAGAACCAGTTAAAGGTGTTGAAATGGTCCAGTCAAAATCCTGAGCTCAGTCCAACTGAGAATCTCTGTATGAGTCAAAGTTTACAGCACCCATCCAACCTGAAGGAGCTACAGCAGTTTTGTCATAAAGGCAGGACAAAAATCTCCAGTGGTCAGATGGTTCAAGATCATGGAGATGGACCTGAAGAGTCCTGGTGCTGGAACAGCTGCAGAAATTAATGACACAAAATACAAGGTTTTGGGGTTGAATACAAACAAAAACCCCATTTTTCAGTTTTACATTTATTAAATTATTTAAAACAATGTATTTTTTTCAATTTATCTTGATTAAAATATTTTAGGAGAATTATATACAAACAAAAAGTAATTTTATGCTGTAAAGCAACAAAATAAAAAGAATACAAGTAGGAAAACAATGTGATACTGACATTGTGCATTATTCCAGATTAATATTGTTCTAGGTCTGAAGCATGTCCTGAAACAATATTCTTTCCTGACACACCCATGTTTATTAATAAGTTTACCTACAGAATGTTCCTGGAGTTGTGAGAGATTCCAGAATCTTTTTTTTTTCTGTATGAATTTATACCATGAAGCTGCAACAGACATCATTTATAACTAATATGGCTCTGAAATTTTCCAATTAAAATGAGGAGACTATATTATTYTTGCCTGTTGTGTCTGAGAGTGGACAGAACCAGAAACAAAGTGATGAATTAAGGAAGTACAAACTAAAATGCCAGACAGGGTGGGACTACATAACATTTATATAAAAATCTACTGACAGAAATATTAGTGTGCATCAGAGACTTTCTGCTGTTCCTCTCACCTCTCATTTCTCATGCTCACTCCCAAGGGCGTAATCACCATCTTAAAACTGGGGGGGGAGACACACACACACATTTTTTAAAGGTCTTTTTTTCTGCTTCGGCTGAAAGGGGGGGGGGGCAGAGGGCACAGATACTGGAAGTGGGGGGGACATGTCCCACCCGGTGCCTATGGCGGTTACGCCCATGCTCACTCCATCCTATCGCTGCCATCTCCGTTAATCTGGACAACACAGTCCTTGTTCAAGGGCTCCTTAGAGTGGGCCGTGTCAAACTGCTGAGTGCTCACCAGGTACTGCCCTTGAGCATCTAGACCCAGAGCAGGCAGAAATCCTCGATCAAACTGAATTTCTTGGCGGAGGTAGGAGGTCCTCTTCTGGCAGGAGTCCCCAGTTCCCTCCTGCATGGCTGTAAGGAAGACCACCAACTCAAAGTGGCTGGAAGTGCTTTCATACAGGATAGAGTAAAGGGGGCTCCGGCGGTCCAATATGTGATAAAAAGTTAGTGGGAAAATAAAAAACGGACATGGGTGCTGGCCCAAATCATCCAAGAAGAAGTCCAGMGAGGTCTGGTACAGTGCTTGACCTTCGTGCTCTTCATAAAGAACAGCACTCACCTTCACGTGGACCAAAGGCTGATGCATCAGGTTGGACACTCGTATCATGAGACATGTCTGACCCTGGTGTTTGCCCACCACTGCCTGTGGGCTGAACTGGATGGCTCCGGCTCGCTTCTGAGGTCGTGCAATCTTAGCTACGAATGCACCTGCAAGTTCAGAAGGATAGTAATGATAATGTAGTGATATAATAAGAAGACCAGATCTCCACACTTTGAAAATGTTGCTCAGCTAACTAATAAAATTAAAAATCAGGATCCAACCACATCAAAGCTACAATTTCTAAAGGCTCCTGATGACTTAACACCAAATAATGCATACTAAAAACAAGATTTATAATCATTACATTTTTACTTTTAAATTCTATAGTTAATAGAATTAAATAATAAAATTTATTTTGCTTTCTAAGACATTAGTAAAAATAATTTAAAACGGGAAACAAACAAACAACAGTGCAATGCAGTCAAACATTGTTACAGTTGGTGTGACGGCTGACGTTTGCGGTAAGACGTATTGTGTCACTTCCTGTTTTGCTCCTGGTAGCTCATGAAATTTGTTTGTTCAAGGACTCTCTTGATTTTCTGGATTATCTAACTTCTCCACAGTTTTACTTCTAATACATAAACACTCTCAATAGTCTTTTTCTCCTACTATTGGATTGTGCTAAAGACACTTTTTTCTTTCAACACTTCTTGGTTTTATTGGTGTTTTTGGGATCTGCTAGCTCTTGCTAACACTAGCTTTAGCATCACGGCGACCTCTCTCCCGGCTCCTTCTGTTCTCACTTGCTCTGTGTGTCAGATGTTTATTTACTCTTATGCCTCCTTTAGCTGCAGGATCATGTCCCTGATGCCAACATCTCTCTGCCAGGCTTCCAGAATGTATGAGCAGACAGAGATTTGAAGAGCAGCGGGAAAAAGAAAGGATGTAGATTAGCAGTGCTTGTCAACAACAGATGGTGTCATCCAGGACATGTTACTGTGAAGTTTC